ACGGCTGTGACCGCGGCAGAGGCACTTTCAGGCACAACCCAGCCCTGCCTCCACTGCATCACAGTAAGCACCACATTGGCAGCATTGGCGTCAGGTTAGGCCCTCTTCCCAAAGTCATGCTGTTGCAGTGGCAGCACGAGGTGTGAATGCCCTCGGTCGCAGAGCGTCAACTGTCAGTCTGCCTATTCACACCATGTCTACTCACATTCACTGATCGGATAGTTGTGTCACAGGAGAAGACATGCCAGAAGGCTAGACTTAGCGTCAGTCTTCACTTCATTCTCTCACCCCCTCGGTCTCTCAACGCATGCATGCAAGGGTACATGCAGAATGCTGAGGTCTTGGGAGAGTGCACGCGCGCCACATGCATTCTGCAGGACACACCGTTAAAGCAGAAGTATCGCCTCCTCGGAAGGCGATTTGGCTGTGATGAGACGATGATGCTGAGTATGTGAGCAATGGTGAGGTGGGAGTCATGGTGTGGGCAGGTAATTAGTGTGAGGGCAGGGTGCAGAGGAGGCGGGCTGTGTTGGAGCAGGAGCGTGCAATGACGGTGTAGTGGGGTGGGGCGGGGCGGGGACTGCTGTGGTGCTGATGGTAGGGGTCTATTGGCGGGAGGTGTGATGTGGAAGAGAGAAAGGGGCAGTAATGCGAGTTGATTTAGGCTGTGAATGTGTGCAGTGCTGTTGGCCAGTGTGAGAGGGATAGACGCATAGTGGGTATGCGGCGCTGGATTTAGCCTAGTAATGTAAGTTGGATGGAGTGGAGGTGTAGGATGTAGATGGGAAGTGTTAGTGACCAGCGGTAGGAGGGTGGTGGATTGTGAGGTGGCGGGGAGTTTGTTGGCGGCAGCGACGAGGGCGGCGGCGCTGAGTGTAGGCAGCAGAGGCGGAGAGACTTAGAGAGCGGAGATGTGTGAGGTGGGAGGGAGGGAGGGAGGGAGGATGGAGTTGCTAGATTTGGTTAGATGAGAGGGATGCCTGAGGGCTCCCCACTGGCAAAAACTACACACCCGAGCGAACCCGATTAGAGTCCGTCGCAGGCTTCAACACGCCGGAGTGCAATGGCGAGCCTCCACCTGGGGTCAGAGCATCGCTGATCACCCTGAACCCGATGCCAGGTATGTTTAATGCGCTGGCCATGCCCAACTGCCACACCTACCATTCTTCCTGCCCCCATTCACATCCACAAACTCCTACCTCCTCCTTCAGG